TATTTCTTCGTTAATCTAGTTTTAAAGCGTTCCTCCAAGTTTAATCCTCGTCAATGTGGAGAAAGGCGTGTTATTTCGGTATCCGATTAACGCACTCGTGTTTCCAAAATGATATAACTGAATTTCTGAGAATATCAGCAAAGCGGATTGACGCCGACATCACGGCAATCGGAAACGTTGGAATACGGGTACCGGATACTTGTGTTTATGTGCCTGTTTGCTGTATCATATCCGTTTCTGACTATTTGCCCGAGGATGATGTAATGAATTAATGCACAAAGAACCGGTAAATTGATATCGAATAAAAATCCTTATATAATCTATGTATGTGTATGTAAGGTACATATTTGACAAAAAAAAAATAATAAAAATCGTGAAATCTCAGTAACTGTACAGCTAAACGGGAAAGTGTAATAATTTAACATTCTATTACGGAGAACGAAGAACTTCAAGGAGTTCAGTTAATCAACGTCTTCAACTTTTCTATTTGATTTCTTATAATAGCTACTGCCACTTTTTCCAGAAAACGAAGAGACTTGCCAGGAGAGGATTTCGTTCCATTAACGTTGAAGACATTTTTACATTAGAGTCCTGATCACGCTTATAGATGATGTAATACGTTTACTTTTTTTTCGATCTCACTCACATTTTCTTGTCAATTATTAATTAGGATAATTTCTAATGCGCACATCCATTCACGCTATAACGAAGTCACATCCTCAGGTGTTTATTTTCCACGTAACTCAAGCCAAACAACGAGAAATTTGATGCAGGACTGGAGACTGAGTTACCGAGTTTCTGGGGCTGAGCAAAGTGTTTGCTCGACTTGACTGATGGAGGAACTTTATACGGAATTTCAAGAAAATCCCTGACCGCGAAATCATGACTTACTTTTTGTTTCTTTATCTCCCTATCTCACGTAGATACTGTTTATCTTGCTTACCCTTTGGTTTCCTTGTGTGATCTACGAGAATACATTCCTAGATACCTCGAAAAATTGCATAATTTTCCACGATCGTCTTTAGGACTTTGACAAAAATATACAATCAATTTGTCGTGACACCGCTAATAAATTATCGTAATTCCATTAAACTTTTGACTAGCATAATCACCCATCCAGTCGCGATAAAGCACCGACTCTAAATTCCGACATGGATAGTAATGCGTGAATAAAAGTTTGTCAAACAAAAAAAAAGTTACGGTAAATTAAAAAGTTAGGCGTTTTTTTAACAGTTGAGGGTGGAGAACTAAGGTCACGATGGAACTGTCCAAAAAATTATATACGATCGTTATATAAGGAATTATGGCTAATGACTAGAGTAATTAAGCCGTTGTCGCGCATGCGCGTCACGAGACGAGTCCTTTTTATCGTCGATTCTTATATATTCCACAAAGCGCTAAGTCAAGAACCTTTGTTCGCCCATCAGTTTTTATTGCAATCGAAAATCTTTAAGGAAAATCTACTTCAGAACAAATATGAAAGCTGTAAATCTTGTTGACTCTACGAAGCAGTGACGATATGTAATAGCACATGGATCGTGTCAATCGCAGATGGCTTTTTCATTAAGATGCTTAATAATAACGTACCTGCACTAGCGTCAAATAGATAACTCGAATAATTCGTAGAATATTAACGTCCCCGACAGGAACTCAGTAGGGGCTGTTCTGGGTCGGCGAGCTGCAATGTACCAAAGACGTGTACACGTCACCACCTTAAATATATGATCTCCCACGTAAAGCAGCATAATATGATTTGTATTCAGGATGCGATAGATAGAGTACAAAAATAAATTCTTCCTCGACGCCATAACGGAGAAACCTCTAACAGTTGAGACATTCAACAGTGAGTTGAGAAACATGTAAGATGAAGGGTATTAGAATAAGAGACGGTTACGAAGTGGAGAGACGGGTCTGCAGAGTAGAGGATGTCTCTCAAATGATTGCCTGGGACACAGAAATGAATTAAGTCTCTGGGGAATCGCGAAGGCGGCCATGTTTTAATTATACTGAAACGGTGAGCAAAACTCACGTCGTTAACTACCTCTCATTATACAAGATTCACATCGACTCTACTCAAAGTCATATCTGGTTTAGTTTTTTTATCTTCCGCAGGATGAGTTCAGTTCAAACTACCAACTGGACTAGGCATGCTCTCAGTACCCTTTCTTAGAATGACTTTCGTTTTACTCTTTGATAAGACGCTACTGTATGACTTTGTCGATGAAATTCAGGGACTCTTTGAGCCACAAGAGCAAAAAGCGATAGAGAATCAAAGAAAGGAAATGCGCAAGAAAATATGCATACATATATTGCCTTTGGTTGTTGTAGAAACTAATGGCGGTATCACAACGTTCCGAGCATCGGGACCACAAGAAGAAGGGAGACTCGCCAGGTTCCTCGCCTCGTTGCAACGATCCGCTATTAATTTCTTCCACGCCGCGTACCGCGTTCATGTAAAACCCTGCGCAGTGAATTTTTCACTGGTGATGATATTTCAGCCGTACGTCATTCTCAACAAAAAAGCGTAATTAATTATTCATCATTACGTAAAGGCACGGCTGGCAGGAGAAAGATGTGAAGGCTGGGATAGTAAAGGTGGTAAATGAAGTAAGAGGTATACGTATGGTTGGCAGTGAGAGTGACAGCACAAGAGAGAAAGGGGGAGAGAGGGATGGAATATGGAGAAAAAAAGAGAAAGAAATAAAAGCCCAGAGACCCTGAAAATATATATTTATACATTCATATCGCCCCTAGGGTAAATATAATAACTTTGGCTTAGAAGTTCCTATAATGTGGGTCAGGGCGCAGGAAGTGAATAAGTACCGGACGATTAATCAAGTTTTGCAGTGGGGCCTTGAAGACCTGGTAGGTCTTGGGATCTTGTGGATGCGCCTTTATTCTCATGGCATTTGAGCCCTGCAATCAGATCTGTGACATTAGATTGGTACCAGCCATCTGGTGCTACTTCCAAACCTACTTTTTTCCTTTCTCCGTATCCTTTTTCACATTAGCATCTAGTTGTCACTGTCCAATTTACTTACCCGACAGAAATTCATTGTAGGTCCGTTTTCGTTAATAGTCTCATTTCGTAGGATGATAATTAAGTATGCAAATTTTTAATAACTTGGAACTTTTTTTATTTATTTATTTTTTTCACAGACGTTCATTGGAGATTCAGAAAAATATATATAATCAATGACTATTTTTTAATACATTTCTTTTCGGTATTAATTCTTCTTAATTACACGGCAGTACGATAACTGTAAATAATATGATATCCAAACTTTGAAACATATGGAACATTAGTATTACGAGATTTAAAAGTAGGCTTTACAAAATACATAGGATTTGAATTCATTTTCATTGTTACCGTAAAAAATAGATAATAAACAAAATTGTTCTCGAAGTAAAGCAGATTTTCATGAACGTCGTACAAGTTTTTAAACTATAAATTATATTAATCTTTCGAACAAAATTTTAACTCATCGATACATTGCTATTGGGCTTTCGAATAATTTTTCATATTGAAGTTTTATTTCAAAGGGCTGCGTTTCATACGTTATATCGTATAGCTTCTGAACACACTACGCGAAACATAAGGTATTCGAGATATATTACATTAGTTTGAGGTTACCGTGCATATGTATACGTATGTAATATCGTGAAGATATGTGCTCGAATTTATCCAGTTAAATTAGGATTTACTATATGAGAAAACAATTTAATTCCAAGTGGACAACACACCTCATCAAAATAATATATCACATTATAATTTATTTATCAAAAATGTATATAAGTAGGGGCAACGAATTTCGTCCTTTTAACCACGAAGATACATTCTGTCTTTATACGCTAAGTAATTGCACGAAGGTCACAGAAAACAAGTAATATATATTGTGCTGATTATGCATGCAAGGTAAATGTTATACACATAAACGATAGCAATAATATACAAATATTATTAAAATTAATCGTTATGATTTAGCAAATTCCTACCCTTGATTAGAAACTTTTGGAAACTTAAAAGCTATTCAACTTTTAGTGGCAGTACCGCATTGATGAAAAATTGGCAACTCAACATGTAGATCATAGTTCGTATTTCAGAATTCACTGCCAGCCAGTCCTGCACCCTTAGATGTGCTTTCGACGTGCCCAGCTAATAAATAGCTACTTTTTGTTTTAGTGCCAACTTCAAGTTTATAGTTTTGAAGTACAATAAAACCATTCATGCCTCAACTTTTTCCTGCTCCTTAATTTTTGTACGTTGCGTAAATACAAAAATTTCATTTTACTTCTGCATCGTTCTAATTTCCTTTATTATTCTCCACCTTCGTCTCTCGCTCGATTCCTCATCTTACGTAGCCAAACTGAATACCTGTAAAAATCTACCTCAACAGCGCCATTATAATTTGCAATGCTTCGATTCTCTTGCTTCACTGTGAGTCTCACTCAGACTCTTCATCGAGGTCTTTATCCCATTGCCACTCTTACGGTCGATAAGATCGTGTGAAGATTTTCCAGCGCGCGTCATTTAAATTAAATGGGGTAGCTGAACAAAGCGTAACACCGTAAAGCGATCCATTTAATTTAAACTGTCGAGCCACTGTGTTCCCAGAAAATAGTAGTTCTCCCTAACTAACAACCCTTCGCGAAGAACCTCCGCAACAAGATCAACAAGTTGCACCTGTAGATCTCTAGATCCACCATGATTTGATCAACAGTTCCAACCAGTGCCTGTCGAAAACAATTTTTATACCGCACGTATGAGAATATGGTAAATTCACTGTTTACTTAATTCAATGAATTTCATTGCGATATACTGTGGATTACAGAATACAAAAATTCTCCGTGTACGAGAATTAATTCAGGCAAACCTCACAAAATTTGTTCGCGACACGTGGTCTATTGACACGTCCTCGGTACCGAGTACACTGAAAATATCTGATTGTGAGTAAAACTCATGCAAACAGTGACATTCTTGTTTTTCCTCTTTGTTCCAGCCCGTATGATCATCCTATAGGAAAAGGTGGAACCTCACCAGGAATATACATTGGCATAAAAGTGTGCAGTAAAATAGTGGAGGGTGCAGGATATCGTCTTTGAAGATGCCGCAGTATCGTCTCCACGTAAAAAGGACGTAATCAAACGGAAAATAAAATAGAAAAAAATGGCTCGCAAAAGGGAGAAAGGAATTCGTATCCGATAAAGACTATCGAAAGGCGCGGGATGATGAGCCACCGTGAAACAAAACGAAAGACTTTGACGTTAACGGTCGCTCGCAAATTGTGGACGAGAGAGTCCTCTTAGCGGCGCGAGTACATATATATGTATATACGAAGACTATATATTATAACTCAGGAAATTACGGAGCGAAGATGATAGAGCACAAGCAGACCATTCTGCTGGCGCCAGCGCTAAGCAACAGTAGCTGTTGGCGCGGGGGAATCACTGCCTCCTGGACAGGACCTGGACCTGGGGAGCTCGTCAGAGCTACTCTCATCCTGGCACTCAGCCTAGGGATTCTGTGCGCCAATCTTCTTGTGATCTGCGTTATCAACAGTCGGCGCTACAGCAAATACATCCACGCTCAGGTAGGATTCACGTAATCGAATTACAATTTTCAATTCCATCCTAACACGAACAGCTTACGCAGAAGCCTATTGCTTGCGCAAATATACACAGAAGATATGTCAATGATTGATAGCGATAAGGCGGATTGATGTATCAAATTCATGATAAAACGTATCGATAATGTTCTACACTAAGTAAAACCAGAAAAGTGTTCATGAAAGTTCAGACCTCGTGTTGTATATACGATTTCTTACCGGAAACCTAGTCGCGCAGAGGCTTGTCATGTTTATGACGTAATTCCGATAGCCGCGAGATGAAACTGCTCGGACGAGAATACTGAGCGAACTAAGAGATAAACGAGATGCATTAGAGGCAAGTGAGCAAGTAATATAATTTGCGGGAACACCGGGCGTCCTCTTTGCCTTTCCATCCTCTTCCGCTACCCTCTATATTCCTAACCTTTTCAACATTCTTCATGGTACTCTGGTATTGTTTCCTTCAGCGGGTTTTACAGCCTGGAGTACCTTTGATGCATTTAAATAAACTCCTTTTATTCCAGCCACGACAGGAGCGAGTAGTTGTAGGTTGAAACTGGGACGATAAAATTTACCGTTGCCGTATGTAATACCGAGACTATACAAAAGGCAATCATATTTTTTATTACCTTTCTGTCGATTTCGTTCATTCATATCTCTATTTTATTTCACATTTTATCGTTAATTATCTACCCAAAGGATCGATAGTATGGTCAGTTTTTGGTAACGATTCATAATTACCGATTGAAGCGAAAACTAGAAATCTTCATTGATACCGGCAATCTTTTGACTTTGCGAAGGATACACGCACGGCACATATAAAGAAGAATATAAACTGGAATAAATATTAAAGAATATAAATATAAATTGTGGTAAATTCCATTTGGGAAATTGTGTCTAATATATAAACACGACTTGCAATATAATACAGATTTTAATGAAAAAATTTTATTTAATAAATTCCGGTAAAAATATTATATAAATATCGTTCAACGTCGTTAGCTCTTACGGTACGTTTTCTAAGAATTAATTGAAATTTTGAAGCATACAATTTGTAACAACGAAACTTCCTCTCTAAGATTCTTTGTGCGAGCTTAGCCTTCCTTGTACGAACGTTCGGATCCCGTCTTACGTCTTACTGTAGAAGAATAGCACAAAGGATCCGTAGAATCGAGCCGCTTCGCATAATTAAGTAATCTAGCGGCGCCATTTTTGATCAAACAATTAAATGCGAATGCCTTGAGCCAGCCAGTCAGCTTTTACTATTCGTGGTATGAATTCGTTAGCATCGGATTACACATTTATGACATTCGCACCCAGAAGCCACCCTTCAAGATTCACCCTCTTATTGTCTAACGTACACGTAGCAGTCCTATACCAGTCCTGCCCTGAATTCTACTAGTAGTAACAGTGGGAACACCCTGTCCTTTTCACCCTCATCTTTATCCCCTTTCACTGTCTGCTCCACCTCCATCGCAGCAACTCGCTGACACGACGGGAACTCATGCATATGTAAATTTCAAACAGCCTACTAAATACATCTAAATACATTAAGGTATCAGGATTGTTTCATAGAGTTGAGACTCCGAAATACAATCAGCTCGCGCGAAAGGCTTAGCATCCTTGTGAAAGTGCAGAGTATTGTGTTTGTTCGACCTTGAAATGTACAAACAGCAGAAATGAGATTCTAGATATATATGTGGTATAGAAAAAAAAATTTTACATTTAAAAAAAAGGTACTCTGAGTCGTTTCCTATTTTATTCTCTTTAGAAGACTTTAAAGAATTTTAAATGATAATAAATGCCTAAAAAGCTGTTGGATAATGACTGTAATTACGGAATATTTATTATTTTGAAGAATAAGAGGTTAGGGTACATAAACTTCTGGAGACTGAAGATTAATGGCTGCCATTGTTTCACTCTCGGTTTCATTAGACAGACTTTAACCTAATCCAACGCAAGTTTATATTGTTTCAAAACTTTAATTAAACAAGTATATTTCTAATGTGTGTAAATAGTTATCTTTTATTTATATCGTGCCAAGGCTGTGCGGCATTGACACTTTGTAATCTTTCGTACTTTTCTTTACAGCCAAGATATCTACTCACAAGTTTGGCAAGCAACGACCTAGCAATCGGCCTATTGGTGACGCCATTCGGCTTCCTTCCGGCCGTTTATGGATGCTGGCCTTACGGAGAAGTCGTCTGTCAAATTCAGGTATAAAAAAAAAAACATTTATCAAAAATTGCGAATCACAGTAATCGTTCCTCAAATCATTTCCATCATCGATTTTAAGCAGTCGCTGTCCATCCTTTCTGTCGTCCATCTCCTTTCGATTGGAGAAAGCTACTCTCTGCCAGGATCCGCGACTTCCTGGTATACCGAGTAAAGGAAATTGCCGGCAGGAACCTCGCCACTTCCGGCACTCGTTCTACGAGTTGTCGAACGTGATCGAGTTCCTGGTGATAATCCTCATGACCCCCTCTGTGCCAGGTTACGTGATTTGTGATGACGTATTTATTGATCTTCGATTTTAAATATAAGGATCATCAGGTCTTATATCTGTGTATTCGAATTTATAAATCAGAATTTTTAAGGTGTTAATAAATAAAAGGTGTCACTATTTGCAAGCACTGCTATTCACTTCCTCTTTTTTCTACTATTTGCTTGTCAGTCATTTGCTAGAGTCTTCGCAAGAAATATGAAATTTTGTAAGAGGCTTTTTCCCAATAAGAAAGTAAAAAAAAATTTAACACAAAATTCCATATCACCCTTGAGACGAGGTACGAAAAATTCAAGTAAAAAGGATAAATCGACTAAAGCAGATGCATCTGAAAATACCTCGACTTCTTAGATCGATCGAATAGCTTCATTGAGAGAGAAATAAACTCATAGCTGTGAATATACTTCCAATTTTCGTGCACATCGCGCATTCCGCGTCGTGTACGAGAACGTGATGCAATTTGCGTCAATAAAGTGTCTAGCACTTCGCGTGATCGAGTAGAGCTTGGATCTCAAGGTCAATAGGTAGGCGCAGAGTTATTGGCAAGTTCTTGCACGAATACGGAAAAAGGTAGGAGGGAAGCGTCTGTCACCTTAAAAGTTGGAGTTTTTCAATTTCACAAAATTGTCAGAAGTTAAGTTAGCTACGACATGCACCTATGGTAATCGTGAAATGCACGTACACTGCTGAGGACTGGAAACGTGAACTTAGATCTCAAAGACCAACGAGAAATCAATGTACAGGAGCGTAATAGGGATGTAGCTATGGTATAACAGTAACAGTAACAGTAACGTAGCAAGACTAGGGCGCCCGAGCACTTTCATTCGAATATCATAAATCAGTGCGGTATCTGTAACGACAAATCATCCAGTGCGCTGGTAGCATTCCAACTACATGCGGCAAATATGTATTACATCGACCCCTACGCCGGTCGTCTCGTCTCCTCTATCTGAGATCAGCGCCAGCTACGGAAAACCAATTAAGCCATTAAAGTCAATTAATTAGTCAGACACGTTCCGGTATTCGAGGATAATCTAACAGCTAGACTGACACGCGTCAGATAGAAATATGATTATAATTAAATTCTATCGCTATGATTGTGTCATGTGGACGGAATTAATTCTAATTAGCGTTATGGCCTATAATTTATGTCCACGTATTAAAAACCATGTAGCAAAGGACAGATCGGATAACATGGCAATGCGTATCTTCCATCCGGTTCACTAGATAATTACGAAACTTCGTGACATAGTAGTCTCCCGGAGCTCGAACGTGCATTAAGGACGTCCAAAGTTGCTCCAGCTTCCACTATTAAAATCCGCAGAGTCACGCTCGGGTGAATATGCGAAGCTCAAGTCGACGAGTCAGTCTGATAATGAGTTCGGCAAATTCCATTGAATGGCAGATTCGTCCTTTTAAACGAAGTCTTATCTAAAATTGTCCACTGGCCTATCCTAGCCTAGTCTATGCTAACCTGAGCCGGTTCAACCTAGCTCGATCTAAGTTAACCTAACCCAACCTCGCATAACTTAACCTAGTCTTTGGTCTGTATGACGTGCCAGGCGTCATCCATTAATTTTCCTAAGCATCCTTTTATTTTTTATCTTCTTTCATTTCATGTAAGCTGCAAGAAGCACTAGAACAAAAAACTGTACGAATGCAGCACGATAAATCTGAAAACTGAAACCTTATTGCTTCCGGGTCAACGAGAATAAAGAAAGGACAGTTTAACGAGAACGTCCGCTACTGGTGTATTTACTTGTCGTTAGTCTACATTTGTAACAAGGTCGAACAACGTAGTTATTCGCCAGGTCTAGGATGGCCTGATGATTGGTGTGGCGTAACGCAGGGTTGGGAGAGAGATTTCTGGCTTTCCCCAGGGTCAATAGACAAAACCATGATGTTGACTGGTCTGGAGTGGATGCGACAAGTCAATTGGATCTACTTGGAACTCGAGTGGCTCTCGCATCTGTTGACCCGGGGAGAGAAAGTACTTGAGATCTACAAAGTCAAAAGCTTTTTGTCGTCTTCATTAGGGATGAATTTTAGCATGATCCTGAATAATTAAATCGAGGCAATGGAAGAAATCCTCTATGGGATTAATTGTACACGATTTAACCAATAGATAACAAGGGGGCACTGCGTGCGATCATTCGGAGGAAAAATATTAGGTGAAGGTCTCCGGAGTCTCGTGGGACGTCGAAACGAGGCCGGTCCCAGTCCACCATATTATCAGAGCTTTTTTCCTGGCTCTAAGCCAACCGTCACCATAGCAACCATCTTAAATGTCCCCCTGCATCTTTATGGATATAGGTACCAACTTCACTAGCACCTAGTACCAACAACTATTGTCATTAGACATTTGACCTGAGTACCGTTCCTATTGCGACGATCGTGTATCGTATCATTTTGGGATTACTGAATACGCACATGCCAATGGTCATTCTTAACGATCTAACAAATATTTAAGTTGCGTGTAAAAAACCTTATACTTGACAATTTCACATAATTCTCATTTTACCACTTGAAAGCCAAATAAAGCTCGTTTCCACGATAATGTAGACAGCAGATGATCTCGAATCACCTAAATACTTTTTCATTTTCCAATTTCATTTTCGTTCCCATTTTGTTCTTCGGTAGTATCCTAGTAAAAATGCATGCAACTCTCCTTAAAAAATATTAAACTATTTCCAGATCCTGAATTTCATCTTTGAAAACTGATGTATAACCAATGATTTAAATCATTTTTATTTAGCTCCAAATAAATCGTATCTAAGCTGAGAAATTATGTTAAAATATTTTTTAGTCTAACCTAGTCTTACACCATCGACGGCTGAATAGTTGATAAGGTTAGAGAACATGAGAATTGAGAAGTAAAATTGGGATCGTTTCCAGGGTGCAGGTTGAAAAATCACTGCATCAACATTAGCGCTACTCGGACCGCGACTATCCGTTTAGTCCCCTGATAATAGCAGCTAATTCGTGACTGCTAGTTCAACGGGGTTTTGTTTCAATTAAACGGGGGCGTTGGGGGGGGGGTGAACAATTTGCTTGTCCACAGGCTGACAGCTTGTTTCGCTCAATGTATGTACGAGCCTTGAACGAATCATGGCGACGAGGAATCTATAGGGGGTTGTTGTGACAGCCAAGAGGGGTGAGTAATGAGATAATTGCCTAGCAATTGCTGTTATGCGTTCTTCACTTGCATATTATAATCTCGCAGTTTAAACAATGTGTCTAAAGTATTACGAGAGTAGGGGAAAGAATTAAGAATATAATACATGTTTTTTTTAAAGATAGATTTTTTGTCTAAAATGTCCCATATTCGATTCCACAATTTCACCATATCAAAATTTGTGCGTAGGCGGTAGGGAAATTTTATTATAATTCTTCATTATCAATAGACGGCAGATTAAATGATTTTATTTCACTCGATATCGTGTTTCAACTGACACCAGTCTCCTCTACATACGATAACATCAACGTGTAATGTAATTTTGTACCTATCTTATATTTAATGATTCAGATACCTGAGGATATTAATACGTAGTACGGCTAGAATATCAAATAGAAGTCGCGATTCGTACCTGTTATCAACGGAATTAATAGAATCGATTTTTGTCTTATTCTGCATACGAATTACATGGTTTACTCGTATTGATAACCAAATATCACGGAGCCCCCGGACTACAGTGGTTACACAGGTATCCAGTTCGATATTCGTGAACGTTCAACAAATCACATCCTTCCTCCACTAGATGGTGCACGTGTATTATAACAGTACAAACCATTGGTTGAATTTTGATAGACAAATACTAGGGAAAGTTCTCGTTGTTATCTAGAAATATTATTTGAGCCGAGAGTATCGATATGCGTCCCGTGTGTGAAGAGTTGTTGGTACACGAAATGTTGTACATTGGATGGAAGGGTAGATAAAGGGGGTAAGATTCTACTAGCACACATAATACATTGCTGGATTGGAACCAAGGGTTCTTCGATCCAACGGATAGAACTAATTAAATACGAGGATACCAGACGTGCCGTGGAGTTAAGGGTTGGTCCTGACCACTCCCGATTTAACTCCCGAAAATCACCTACACCCCCCAAATCCCTCGACTGCGGACAAATTAACTTCCAAGAGAACCAGGGTTCAGGCTTGCGAAAAATTAACGCCAAACGGCTCGCTTGATCCTGCCATATATAAGGGATGAAATTTTGGGCAAGAAAAAAATCCCTTGTGTGGCATACGACTTGAAATGTTACAAAAAGTATTGCTAAATTATTCAATCGGTTTTTAAAAAAAGGACATCTCGAATACAAACAATTGAAACTACTGGACTCTTCGCATAAAACATGCAACCATCCAGACTGTAGGACAGTAAAAAATGTTAGGAGTCTTGTTCTAAGTATCCCAAAATTGAAGCGGATGACAAATTGAGTTGCAAATAAAATAAGTACTCATGCGCAATTCGAAAGCACGGAATTTCGCTAACTCTGGAAGATAGAATAACTGTTTCAATCAGAAATATGTCAATTAGTTACTTGCTATAGATAGATACGATATATTTAAGCTTATCGCCATTTTCCAAATTTAACAAGTCGATTTTCACGGACAATGACAAGTTAATTACGATTGAGATAACGAATTGCGTAGAGGAAGACCCTATTTTCGTGTTCAAATTGGACGAAGAACAAGGGTAAAATGGTTACGGACTTGAATGAAATGAAAAATTGTGCTCGAAATTGCCTCTTAACGTATTTCTCTTACCTGAAAATAAGTAATGATTTTTTTTTTCTTGTTCGAGAACTTCCTCACCCTCTACTACCTTATAATATTACTTTGCTTCCATCTACCCTTTCTTCAGCAACTTGGAAAACTTGAGTTTTCTAATAGTTGAAAACTTTGTTCAATATATTCACGTAAGGAAAATGTTATTGTTCAATTGTGGAAGTATCTACTGGCCACTGATGAAATTCATATTTTGAGAATTCGTATACCAACGTGGTACATGAAACAAATAGTGGTCGATTCGCATCTAACAATTTTTAAGCCCCCCCCCCCCCCC